ACAACGGCAAGGATATTTACCATAAAATAAACAGAGCTAGGCAGTAACTAGTTACAAATGACCAGTTACTTCAGTGGACTCCTTTTTACCACAATTACTCTGTTGCATTACAACTGCACTTTAAAGAATGATAACTTCATTCTTTTTGCAGTCCATCTGTGATGTTTACTTACTTTTACCATTATGTGGTTGTAGCCTCCCTGAAAGGAGGAGGAAAATATCACACAGTTAAAGAGCTGACTTCCTCTGGGTCTCATGCTGCTGCCTCATGCTCTCTTGTGTATGCCCGGGCAACAATAAGATGGATGGGAAGAGTTGCTTGTTGTTTAAAAGAAACTAAAAAGTACATGTGCCAATTTCTTTTCTGAAACATGAAAATACATTTTCCCTTTCATTAAAATTGCAACTTGAGTGGGATCTAGGGACTCTTTCAGCCCTTGCAATTATGCCCAAGATCCAATGCTATGCTGGCACTGTAGGGTCAATGCAACAAAACTTCCTTCTCCTAATCTCCCTCATAGCTCTTGGAGCCACCCAAAGCTCAGGCTCTGGTTTTAGGGTATGCAGGAGGGCTGCAATGGAGAAGGGAGATCACCCCCTCCTGAACTGACAGAAGCAGCTTTGACAGCTGATGTCCTGTGTTGGATTCTGTACTACAACTGTCACTCATTACAGTTGTTGTTTTGATGTCATTGTTAACTGCCCTTGAGTTGTCCCTGACCCATGGTGACCCTGTGGACAAGACATCTCCAAGATCCCCTATCCTCCACTTCTGTGCTTAGGTCCTGCAAATTTAGGACTGTGAGCTCCCTAATTGAGTCTATCCATCTGGTGCATGGTCTTCCTCCTTTTCTGCTACCCTCTACCTTTCTTAGCATTATTGTCTTTTCTAAAGAATCATGTCTTCTCATGATGTGACCAAAGTACAACAGCCTCAGGTTGGTCATCTTGGCTTTTACCTGGTGCTTTAAAATACAATCAGCTGTAACAGTTCTACGGGTCAGCATTAATCAAACTGGATATTATTAGTGCTGAAAACAACATAGCAGCTGTGAGAAAGGCATATTGGGTGACCACCCTGCCTCCTAAACCCAGATTAGTTCTCTTCCTTTGATAGCAGCTCTTGTCAATTATGCCAATTATCTTGGCACAGAATTTGATTATCTCCACTGTCCTATTAGGGACCATTATCAGGATCCTATCCCTTTTTTGAGGGATGTTGGCTGGTGTACCACATTTTCTTTGACTAAAACAATTTGAACAAGTTCCTATCACCAGTAGTAAACTGTGCCTTGACAAGTAAATAGCCTGTAAAAGAGGCTGTTGACATTTCATATTATGCATGTCTAAACACCAGGTCTCTCTCCTTCCAGATTGTTACAATGTCATATCCATCAGCACAACAATTATGGGCATTTACCTTCTAGCTCTCTACTGGTTTTTACAGAGAACTGCTGCCATATTTCTCCCTTATATAGGATGCTTACAGGGTGTTCCCAGGTATTAATTGCTAGTTTAACAAATGCAGGGGAAACAGCACACAGTCAGGTTTAGCGGCAAATTTACTTTTGGCATCATTCCACATTTGATTTGAGTTGGTACTTTCTCCTTAATACTGACACACCTCTAGGGAGGAGAAGAGCTGCCTCTTATTTTCTCATGAATTCCCCACCACCACCACCATTAAACTTTTCTGAAACTAGGAACTTTTATCCACTTCCTACCAATTTGCCATAGCATGAAAAGATTTAATTCTTCGTGTTTATTTGATGTCTTTCTCTGCTCAATGTGTTGCTTGTTTGGGTGCTAACTGTATTTCAGAAAACCATGGCTAATGTGTTTATGCATCCAGGTACATACACACACCTGCCTGTCATTCAACATGTCTCCTCATTGTTAATAAATCTTAAGTCAATTGATTACAGTATATTAAACAATTAGTGAGTCAGCATGGTGTAGTGGTTTGGGTGATGTACAAGGACTTCAAGATAGCAGGGTTCAGATTCCTGCTCAGCCATGGAAACCTACTGCATGATCTTGAGCAAGTCACACTCTCTCAGTTTAAGAGGAAGGCAGTGGCAAACTTTCTTGAATATATCTTGCCAAGAATATCCTAGGGTGCGATCCTCATATCTTGGAGTCAGCTTGCGAGCACATAACCACAACAATTCCATTAATTGACTGTTTCTGTGTGCCTTCTGAGTCATTTCCAACTATATTGACCCTGAGGCGAACTTATCACAGGATTTTCTGGGGCTAAGAGTGTGGGACTCACCCAGGTCACCCAGTGAATTTCCAGGAATTGAATCCTGATCTCAAGAGTTATAGTCCGATGCTCAAATCACTATATCATGCTGGGTCTCACTCACTTCATTATATCTGCACAATTGTGCAAATTAGGGGGAAAACATAATTCTAATAAAAAAAAGCATACTTCATTTCAGTTTCAGAAAGTGGATCATGTTCTAGTAAAGTAAGAAAAAATCTGGGCATTGCCAGATGGTGCATACAGGCATGTGTCAGTGGGTGGGTGCGTGGGTGGGTGATGGAGAGATCTGAGAATGGGCTGATTCAAAGCAAGCATACTACACTCATATGAACATTCCCAGAATAGGAAAAGTCAAACAACATCCCTCTGCATCTTCATTGCTCCACAGTGTCAGCATGAAATGAGTCTTCAAGTGGATCTGTTCAGCTGCAACTGAGTATTCAGATTCCTGTTGTTCCTGCAAAGATACACCATCTTGTTGGGCTTTACAAGCCTGTTACCCATGCAACACCAGCTGAAGCCCATCCCCTCTAATGACATACCAAAACATATAATTAACATTAATTATATGTCGGTATACCCCATAATCTTAATGGTCTTTCATGGAGTGGGATCCCTCTTTTAAGAGTCATATGCAAGCTTTGTGGGGCTTCTGAAGTCACCTTCTTTAAAGAGACAACAGGAACAAGTCTTCATTCCCAACACAAATGCAATCTTCCTGAAAGTGCTTTACACCTGGGAACTTGTTGCAATGGGTCCAAATGCCTTGAACGGGTGCACTAGGCTGTTAATGAGGGAGAAACACTTTTATTGTAACCAGAAGATTCTCCACTGAAAATGTCAGCTTGGAAATACTGGCCAGTCTCCAAGAGTCACTCACACTAGTGGAAAGAGGAATTATGTTTCGGACAGGCCTATGTGGCTAAGGTCTTTCAATAACATCAGTAAAATAATCAATCCATATTTGATCCTCTAAAACAGCCATCCCCAACTCCTTAGATGTTAGCCTACAATCCCTATACACTCTAATCAGCTTGGCCACTGATTTATGTAATTCTTACACAACAATCTAAAGTGATCATTTTGAGAGAGCTTCCAAAAGAGGCTAAAACCCTCATGCATCCAAGGACCACAGGTTGCCCACCTAATGATACCTTCATCATTTATCATTAATCATATCTTTAATATGATACATTTTCTTTTTTCTACTTCTGTTTGAACAGGACATGCAAAACCACCTATCCCAGTAAGCTGATGTAGCACTGAAGAATTCCTTGCAAATGATGCCCTATTCAGGATGGTATTTTTAGAAGTTTTTAGTGTTTAATAAATACAGGCACATACACTTTTTTGAAAGATTAAAAGTATCATAGGAAGACATTGCACACCTGATACCAAGGTCTCGAGGGATTAACCAAAACTAAAAAGCACAAGGCAGAAAAGAGCTTTGTTGTAGTTGTTGTTGTATGCCTTCAAGTAATTTCTGACAATGGTAAAGCCACAGGGTTTTCTGGGGCTGAGAGTCTGTGACTCACCCAAAGTCACCCATGGGTTTCCATGGCTGAGCAGGGATTCAAACTCTGGTCTCTAGGGTCATAGTCCAATGTACAAATCACTACACCACACTGCTTTCTGGATGCTTAAGGAAGGAAATTGGCCTCAGCCAAGCAAATTCCTTCAAATGAACCAATGCAATTTGGTCTTCTCTTGGTCAAGATTTGTAAGAATTAAGATATGCAATAAAAGGAGACTGTGCTATACAGAAATGACAGTTTCATTAACTGGTGGCTTAAATAGCCTAAGGGCATCAGATCCTGTCTAATCTTGGCAGCTAAGTAGGGCCAGCCCTGGTTGGAAATTGGATGGGAGACCACCAACAAATACTGGGTGTTGTAGGCTCTATTTCAGAGGAAAGAACTGGCAAAAACCCCTGAATATTCCTTGTATTCTCTTTTCCAACATACTCAGCTTCCTAAGCCACTACTCACAGGGCTTAGTTTCCAGACATTTTACCTTCTCTGGACACGTTCCAGCTTGTCAACATCAATTTTCAACTGTAATGGCCAGAACTGGACACAGTATTCCAGATTAGATCTGACTAAAGCATTAGCTTTTAGGGCTACCTCAGCACACTCTTGACTTTTGTTTAATTTGGGGGTCTCCTAAGAGCCCTAGATTCTTTTCACAGGGACTATTATCAAGCCTGAGGACTAAAATCAGAATCGTCCTGGCCACTGTATTC